AAAAAAGGTGTTTTTTACACTACCATTGAGAAATTTTAACCAAAGTATGATACAGACTTTTCATTAAGACCCTAAAGAATCATATCAACTTGTGGAAATGGGCATCCTATGACCCCTTTAAATGCATTTAGACTCACAATTAGGTCATCTGAAATTAATTTTATTTTAAATTTTTTCATGTTTTTTCATGTTTTTTTCAGCAAAACCTTTTTCTGTTTTAATGCAAATAAATGCCTAAATAAAATCTGTTTCTCCTATAAAGTGATTGTGTCTTGGATTAAACAGCTCAATTCATATGGATTACTTTTACAATGTCTTTATGAGCTTTACTGGTTACGTGGACTTTCAATGGAGGGACAGGAATCTCTCAGATTTCATTAAAAATTGCTTAATTTGTGTATAAGATATATTAAGATTAACCCAAGTCTTATAGGTTTGGAGTGACATGAGGGTTAGTAAATGATGACAGAATCTTGAGTTTTGGGTAAAGTACCTCCTAAAATCACACAGAAATGGTTGACTAATACTAATGCTATTGAAGCCACAAACCCAAACCTACACCTAAAATCTGATTGGTTGATAGAAATGTTCCAGAACCAATAGTGATGTCCATAAGGAAGGGAGTTCTCTGCCTTTGGCAAACCCCTCAGTGACACTTTGTCCTGAAGTACCTAAAATATGTGCAAAACTGCAGTGCTTGCGCAGACAGTAGGGCCAGTATAGTTTTTTAAACCATTCACTCTCATTCTTTAAGTGCTGTCAGTGTTGTAGGGTAACTCTAATTGGTTTTGGATAACCATCCTCATCATTTTATGGTCAGCAAACTCTACAGGATAACAATAAAACTGAAAAATAAAAAATAAAGTGTCTCCACTGTCCAGGGCCTAATGTATACATACACACACTCACGCATACACCCCGGTCTCCCTACTGTGTTATTCCTATGTATGTCTGCACTATCATGTATGTCTGCACTATGTTTGTACTTTCTTCTACACTGGAAGCTCCTGTCGTCAAGTCAAATTCCTTGTGTGTGTAAACATACTTGGTAATAAAGCTCTGATTCTGATTCTGATTCTGATTCTGATATGGATTACTTTTACAATGTCTTTATGAGCTTTACTGGTTACGTGGACTTTCAGTGGAGGGACAGGAATCTCTCAGATTTCATTAAAAATTGCTTAATTTGTGTATAAGATATATTAAGATTAACCCAAGTCTTATAGGTTTGGAGTGACATGAGGGTTAGTAAATGATGACAGAATCTTGAGTTTTGGGTAAAGTACCTCCTAAAATCACACAGAAATGGTTGACTAATACTAATGCTATTGAAGCCACAAACCCAAACCTACACCTAAAATCTGATTGGTTGATAGAAATGTTCCAGAACCAATAGTGATGTCCATAAGGAAGGGAGTTCTCTGCCTTTGGCAAACCCCTCAGTGACACTTTGTCCTGAAGTACCTAAAATATGTGCAAAACTGCAGTGCTTGCGCAGACAGTAGGGCCAGTATAGTTTTTTAAACCATTCACTCTCATTCTTTAAGTGCTGTCAGTTTTGTAGGGTAACTCTAATTGGTTTTGGATAACCATCCTCATCATTTTATGGTCAGCAAACTCTACAGGATAACAATAAAACTGAAAAATAAAAAATAAAGTGTCTCCACTGTCCAGGGCCTAATGTATACATACACACACTCACGCATACACCCCGGTCGGACTGCAGAAATAATGATTATGCGCGTGTGTTGTGCATCGGTTGTCTGTTTTCAGCTCTGGCTTTTAAAAATAATTGCTGTTGGTGCTGCAGCCGTATCAGAGGAAGGCCAGTAATGATTCTCGCCAGTCGTGTGGAACGCGGCATGTGGGGAAGCGGGGGGAGACAGACGTGAGAATAAAGGCGGCTATCATTTCTGTGTGTGTGTGTTTGTCTGCCTGGCACATAATTATGGTTGCATAAGGTTGTGTATTCATATGGTGTGTGTGTGTGTGTGTGTGTGTGTGCGAGGTGCTATGATTACAGTGAGCGTGTGTGCAAATATACTCCAGCCCCCGTCTATAAATCAGGTGTGAATTGAAGAAACTGATGAGTCGAGAATCTCATTTGAGTGTGTGTGTGGGATCACAGAGGGATTAGAGTTGGATATAAAGCTGCACAGGTGTCTGAGACTACCTCATAACCCGCTCACACACACACGCACGCACGCAGCATTTTAATTGTCTTTCTCCTTTTCTTCACCACTTTTATTGGCTCTCCTCTGCAGTGTGTGCGCTCTGGGTAAAGGTCACTGCGCTCCACCATCTTACTCACTCACAGCGTTACTAGCCATGAAACTAGTCTGCCTTTTAATTTAAGCTGAATTCTCCTATGCTGAAAACCTGAGATCTCATATGAGCCCAAATTGTGTGAGCTGCTGCAGATTTGCGACATCATAAGAGTGTAATAGTGATTTGTTCAGGGATAGAGATTTTAATGTAGGTAAAGATTAAGTCAGCACTTGTATTTTGCGTCCTTTGCAGAGGAATATTATTAGCATATTATATATATATATATATATGTATGTATGTATGTATATATATACTGTATATAGAATTTTATCTCAGCTTGTAACATTTCTCATTTCCATTTAGTTTACTTTAAGATTTCATTTAGCTTAAAGGGGTAGTTCACCCAAAAATGAGAATGCTGTCATTAATTACTCACCCTCATGTCATTCCAAACTCATAAGAAACTTTGCTCATCTTCGAACAGAAAATAAGATATTTTTGATGTAATCCGAGAGCTTTGACCCTTTCTGAATGTTCATTTTTGGGTGAACTATCCCAGAACTATACCAAAACTAAATATACTAAAAACTAAAACATGATAAATAACTATATAGACATACTTTTAAAAACGAAAACTCATTAAAATGACAAAAACACAACAAAATTACTAAAATGTTTACTAAAATTAAAATGAAAATGGAAAATATCAAAATAAAATCTCATTCGAAATATTAACAAAAACTATAATAGTATATCAATAATACTTAACACTGATACACACAAAAGTTTGGGGAAAGTAGGATATTTACACTCGAAAATACAAAAAAAATTGAAAATATCTGTTTATTATTCAAATGTAATTGTAATAATACCTGTGGTGTCAAAGCTGAATTTTCAACATCATTACTCCAGTCTTCAGTGTCACATGATCCTTCAGAAATCATTCTAATTACTGATTTGCTGCTCAAGAAACATGTTATTATCATATTGAAAATGGCTGTGCTGCTTAATATTTTTTGTGTAAAACATGATACATATATTTAGGATGCTTTGATTTTTTTTTTTTTTATTACATACATTATAAATGTTTTTACTGTCACATTTTATCAATTTAATTTATCAATGCTTAATCGTTTCTTCAGACAAACCAGTCAATTCAAAGGTAAAAAGCTTATTACAGGCAGTCTTGCCCCAAAATCAGGTCAATTAACTAGGAAGTGAACATAAAAGCTATTGTGTAGTTATAGTATATCTGCACATTAGGCATTATTTGAGATTTTAACATCAAAATTACACACTTGGCCTTTAATTAGGACTGATTTCTGTCTCTTCAGGCCCGGGCGTGTGAGGGGCGACTGGCGGAGCTGCACACCCAGCTGACACGCTCACAGCAGCAGATGACGGCCCTGCAGGCCAGAGACGAGGAAGTGCTCATGCTGAAGATGGAGATGGCCTCTCTCAGAGACAACTACACTGCTAAAGTAGCTCAGGTCAGCCACAGTATCCCAACCTCATTTCTATTATTCTGCTGTGTTTCTGTGTTCATTTGTCTCTTCCTGTGCAGGTTGAGGCTTTGCTCTCACAGATGGACGCTGTCAATCAGAAGTACAGCGCAGCTGTGTGTGAGGCCGATGTTTTGCGGCAGTGTTTAGGAGACGCACGGAGTGACAGCTCTCGACTTCACAGGGAAAGCGAGCTAGTCGTGACCAATGTGAACCAGTGGGTGAAGGAGCAAAAGTAAGAATCTTGTCTTCTGCATTCAACCAAAATGATCTTTTTGAGAAGTAATCATTCAGTAGCATGAAATTACATTCAGTACCATGAAATTACATTGCCACAGTATTTTTTTGTAAGTGTAAAAAGCTTAAAACACAGCTGTTGGAATACTTGATTCTGGTTGGTCGATTACTGCATTCTGCAGACATGTTTTTGAAAAATACAAAATGTTTTTGTATAATGACAACTACATTGTATAATTGATCATGACAGGCAATACCATTATTCTTAAAACTAAAACTATTAAAAATCTTTTTTTTTTGGTAATTGAAATAAATCTTAAATAAAATATGTTATAATGGTTAAATATTACATATGCATAATTGTTAAATATTAAATATGTTAAATATTAGATGAAAAAATTATTTAAATTAAAAAAATATATATATGAAAATTAGTAATGTTGCCTTGGCAACTAACGGAAAGAAATGTTTATGTTGAAGTACTAAAATTACAAAAACTGAAAATAAAAATAAAGCTTGGTAGAAATATTCACAAAATCGCATAAAATGATTAAAACGTCACTATAATTAAAATGAAAACTAAACATATAAAATATCAAATAAACCTGAATTCAAAATATTAATAAACGCTATAATAGTATATAAATAATACTAAAATAACACTGGTCCCAGGCAACTTCTTCTATATACTGACAAATAGTATTTACTTTGAATATTTTTGCTTAGAAATTGCTAGTAAATTTCACACAAAAAAAAAGACAAAGAAATGGCAAGTAACACGTTGAAATAAATTGAAAGTAGAAAGAATTTAGTATTTTTGTTTGTTTGTTTGTTTTGTAAAGCATACTCCAAAAATCGTTCAAAAAATATTTTTTATAGTGTAGCTTTGCTAGTTTAATGTGTTTTGTATCACTCCATCTCTTCTATCATAACAAAATAAAAATTTCAACTCAAATCAGTACTTCATGTCTATTTATGTGTTTATAGTTTGTATTTTATAAGTAGCTATGTAATTAACAGTCGGTCATCATTGCCAAATAAACACCTTCATACACTTTAAAAAATTCTTTTGAAATATTGAATAAATTTGTATAAATTAAATATTATAGGAGTACCTTTGTAATGTTTTTAATTAAATTTTTTGTAATTTGTTATGAGATTTACAAGCAATTTATGAGTGAAAATTTTTTATTTTATTTTTTTTTGCAATAATGACCGTCTGGCTGAGTGTTTTCCCTTACGTAACATAAAATGTGAGTTTTTACTGCATTATATGTCGCAGATCGTATCCCATGTTGCACTGCATAGTTCCTGCTGGAACCATTATATAGATTTACAAAGTCTAATGGTGCATCAGAACTTTTGCATCCAGAGAGAGGCAGTGTTATAATGGCTGTATCATTATCATTCAGCATCATGGTTCATTGTGACAGCAGCTCGCAGCTTCCTCACTGCAGCCCATTATCTCTGCCCCTGCTCCACTCCAGGCACACTAATGAGAAACTGGCACTCAAGATCAAAGACCAGAGTAGGAAGATCATCCACCTGACAGCTGAGAGAGAGTAAGCCCCGCTCACCCTGTCCAAAGCTGTTTCCGCTCCTCTCAGCTGGAGTGTGTACAAACATGGATTTTAGGTCCAAGTAGCAGGGAATGTGCATGCAAAGATACGGTGAGAGGGTACACTTATGTGAAATGGGATTAGGCTGTAATGTTTGTCCTGTCTTTATGCAGTCACCTTCAGGAGAATGTGAAGGGTTTACAGGGGGAAATCAGGAGGCTGAAAGCAGAGCTGGATAGAGAGAGAATGGAAGCAGAGCGACTGAAGGTAACACACACTCCAGTGCAAAGCCTCTAACACACTCCAGATGGTTTTATCAGTATCAATTTTTAAAGGGGTCATATGATGCGATTTCAATTTTTCCTTTCTCTTTGGAGTGTTACAAGCTGTTGGTGCATAAAGAAGATCTGTAAAGTTGCAAAGACTAAAGTCTCAAATCCAAAGAGATATTCGTTATAAAAGTTAGGAGTCAGCCACGCCTACAGGCGGGGCATAGAGGAGAAACAATAGTGTACAGTATGTGGAAAGTAATGTTTTTTTAACCTTAAACCGCATAAACACCTTTCATTACACCAAATACACCAAATAATGTTCTTTTTAGCAGCATCATATGACCCCTTTAAATTGAAGTCAACATGAAACCGAAGTTTTACTACCGTATTGTGACATATTTCAAAGTGAAACGGCTATTGAGTGAGAAAAAAATGTTGGGCGGCACTTAATCAGTTACTGACTGGACTATGAAAGCTGGTCATTGCATACAGAAATGGAGGCAGATCTGAATGCGACTGGCTTAACTGCAGACTTGCATAGACACTGAGTTAGTCACATCACGGGAAGAGCAAGTTACAACATTCTGATTAAAGATTTAAAAAAGTAAACAATCAACCAATCAATAATACACTACCATTCAAAAGTTTGGAGGCAGTACAATTGATTTATTTAGTTTAAATTTTTATTCAATTATTTATTTATGTTTTTTAAGAAATTAGGGGCACATTAAACAATGATCAAAAGCGACAGTTGTTAATGTTCCAAAAGGTTTCCAAATAAATGCTGTTCTTTTAATTCATCTGTGACGAGTGGGGGCGGGGCCGAGAGCCGTGGGAACGGAGCGAGGCCGGTGGAGTGATTGCTAATGAGGGACACCTGCACCCACTCACCGGTCTCGAGTCTCACGGAGGAGCTCCGGAAGG